AAATATGGCCCCCATGCCATATGTACTCAGTACACTTTAAACTGTTTAAAGACTGTTCATTATTTTTGAGAATTTTTAACCACATGCAAATTATTACTTGGCATTTTGAGAAATGGTGCAAAGGCACCAATTGAGACACCTGTCTTGTAGTACAGACACTGCACACCACACAGATGCTTCTTGCTTTAGAGCAGCCAATGGGAATAATTGAAGAAGTTAGAAGAAAGTTGAAGGATACACAGAAAGATGAGGAAACATGTTAAAATATCTTCTTTGCCACGGGTCAGCAACATTGTGTTTCTTTATACCTCAGCTATGTTTAAGTCACATTGCTGCTGCTAGTCTGAAGGAGATACTATAGTGTAAAGTCTACCCTGACTCCAGAGTATGTTATTATTACTTCTATCTTAGGTTTGTATTTTTTGTGTAAATCTACATGCTTCAACATTGCTGCTGGAACGCCGATAAACAGTGAAGGTTATTTCTGTTCATTTTATTATATTCTAAAATGTGAAAAATCTTTTAAAAAATAATACACCATCCATCTTTTGCAGTTTTAATGTGGTTAGACCTGAACTCTGTGAACAATAAAGACTCTAGAGGGGAAAGCAGGGGTTGATGATCAATTCTGAGGGGAAGAAAAGTCAAAGAAGAAAAAAATGAGGCTTTTGGATGATGTCATTTCCAGCTAGCACAGAACTGTGTGCCCATATCTGAGGTCAGGCACTCCCTTATTAAAAATAACATGGCCCCAGAAGCATGATTAATTACCTGCCAGCAGAAAGTTTATGGAAGAGATGGAGGGGGAAATATGGGTCCGTGAGTGACAGAAGAGGAGGAAGCAGCGGTGGACTGAAACATAAAAGGGAAGTGGTGGAAATCATTAGAAAAGAGATGGATCTGAGTCAAAGCAAAAAAAGAAAAAAGAAAAAGCACAGCATGTACAGAGAGCTGTACACCAAAAATCTAGAAAGAAAATTCTCAGACAAAAAAGGAAGGAGGGGCAGAGGATGGGGCATTCGTTAAAAAGGCGCCAACAAACGTTCCGGTGCTCTCTAACGTGTTGACGGTCAACGACTGAAATCGCGTGTCTCTGTGTGTGTGAAACACAGGAAGAAACGAAAAAAGTGAGATCGTTTACTTTGATTTACCTCAAGCTTTTGTTTCTGTAATATTCAAGCTATGCATGTAAATGCTTCACTCACAATACATCAAGTTATGAACTCAGTTGCTAAATTTAAATCTTTAGACATTCATCATTTTCAAACACATGAAAATAGTTTCACGCCAACATCCACACAAGTTAACCATTTAGCTCAATTGGCCATAAATCCACCTTCCCTGTGAATTATTGGAAGACTAGCACAAGCTGTGAACAGCATGATCCCTAATGTCCCTGTTATACATGTCAACTAAAGAGAGTCTGAATAACAAGTGAACCATAGAACTGAATATCTATTTGTGCTATACCGTGGCATATATTATACTCTGAAACCACTATTTCTTTCCAATTATTTATGTGTCATGTCTTTAAATGGACATTCTACAACCTTTGAAAAATCTGATTTGCTAAAAGAACATATAGAAAACGACAGTCATAAGTTACTTAAAATGCGTAATATGCATCATAGAGTCATTTAATTAGATATCCCTTTCAACTTTGTTGTGTGATTATTTGATCAATTGTAACTTGTAAATATGAAAGAATAATCTATGGAGAAAAGTTCAAAGGTTATAATGGGTGAAATTGAAGACAAACTTTAAAATTGCACAATAGGATGGCAAGTTTTGATCGTAGCCTTGGAAAGCTGTCGCTTCCACTGAAACAAAACCTATAGAGCTTGTCACAACTCACTCATCTGTATTATTTTAACAAAGTGGATTTCCATTGGTATTTTCAGGAGAGGCACCACTTATTAAAAATGAAGACATATCTCCTACCAACAACTTCATAGATGCACATAGAGGGAAAATAGAAAAAGACTGGTTTCCATCGTGATAAAGCCGTTGGAGCCATGACCATGGTAGAGGATAAAACATTAAAGGTGAGACAAAGAAGCTGTGGGCTTAGGGGGAAAGAGCTTAGCTGGTTGGCTGAGGGCAGAGCAGGAGGACGCTTGTGTTAAGTTCATTGCCTCTGTCCAGTTCTCCATTGATCTGATCCACTTTCTGCTTGAACCCTGTGATCTTCTCTGTCCCTGACCACACATTCCTCACAGTGCTTTGCTGTAGCTTCTTCTCTAGTTATGCCTCCTTGCTGTATCTCAATTTTATGCTCCTCGATAATTTATTGTCTCCTTACCTGATGGAGTATCTTTGTTGTTGTTGTTGTTGTTAAGCAGTTCCTTAAGATCACTGGTAACCCAATGTTTGTGACAGAAGAGGAACCTTGCTGTACTGGTGGGGAGGAGGATGTCTGCACAAACTTTTAGACAGTCAAACACTTAGTTATGGCACTGATGTAATGTCCAGGTGCCAGGCAGGGTGCAACCCGGTCCGTGGCCTGGAAACAACCCCCAAAGCTTCTTCGATTTCATGTGACTGTCTTTTCAGTTTTTTCATCACAGGTTCTCTCTGTACAAGGCCTTTGTATGTCAAGCAGAGAAAAACAAGATTACGATCTGTTGTACGAAAAGGAGGTCTTCCAACAGATGTATTTTTTATGCTTCCCCGATTTCTACATAAGAGATCAAATGTGTTGTTGTCTCTGGTGGAGTAGCTGACAAACTGTTAAAACCCTGAACGCGCAGCAGAGACTGACGCGTGGTTTTAATCTCCAAATACTGCCACAAATGCCATCGGGGAGTTGGGTCTGTTGCAACAGCAACAACCGAGCTGCTGATATTGCGAGCAATGATGACGAAATGCATACTGTTGCTGGACGAGCACTGGTGAACCCGTCTTGGAAAATAACTCAGGGAAAAAGGATTTCTGTCGTACAGTGGCATATCTTGGAATTCACCATGTGTTGTTGACAACCACTGCTAATCCACTTCCTATGCTTTTACCACTGCTCTCCAAATTGTGGTAGACCATGCGGACGTTTCTCAGTGACAAAAACAGAATACTGCATCAGTGGTAACTGTGGGTGAGGCCAAACAGGTGACCGTCAGCTGAATGCAAACAATGGAGTCGATGAAAACACAGTTAAAATGTTCTTAGCTCATCGATTTATATGGGTTCAATACCCTAAAAAGATTGGGTCATACAGTATCTGCTTTTGTAATAGGCAGGAAATACACCAGATACCCCAACCACATTAACTTACCTGTGTGCATGCGGACTTGTTTTAGGTAAACCATCTGGTACTTAAGACCATTTTTGGAAAAAAAAAAAAGAAAAAAGAAAAAGAAAAGTAAATGGATAAATAAAAGTGCACAGTCTTTCAGGTTAACTTTCAAAACAGTGCCATGGAAAGATGAGGAAACATTTGAAATGACTGATTTGAATAGTTTTTGGAATATGTTCTGCAGAGATGATTCACTGCAGGGCATCCTTTGTCGTAGAGCCCAGCCTTATATTTAGTAAAACTAATCAGTACTACAAACTAAAGTTCAATTAAGACCACAAATTTGCAGAATGGAATCAAAAAAGCATCCTAAATGAAGTTATTTTGAATGTTTCCTTTTTTAACAAGGGATTTACCCAAAGTTAAAATATAATTGTGTTAATATTTTAAATGAGTAATTTACAAAAAGTTATATGTATATGTGTGTATACCGGTTCCCTTCTCACCCACCGCGGGTGGTTCTTATCCTCTGAGCTCGGGTCCTCTACCAGAGGCCTGGGAGCTTGAGGGTCCTGCAGTATCTTGGCTGTGCCAAGGACTGCACATTTCTGGACTGAGATGTCTGATGTTGTTCCTGGGATCTGTTGTAGCCACTGCTCCAGTTTGGGGGTTACTGCCCCGAGGGCCCCGATGACCACAGGCACCACTGTGGTCTTCACCTTCCAGGCCTTCTCCAGTTCTTCCCTGAGGCCCTGGTATTTCTCCAGTTTCTCGTGCTCCTTTTTCCTGATGTTGCAATCGCTTGGTATTGCTACATCTACCACAACCGCTTTCCTCTGATGTTTATCCACTACGACAATGTCTGGTTGGTTCGCCATTACCATTTTGTCTGTCTGGATCTGGAAGTCCCACAGGATCTTAGCTCTGGTGTTCTCTACCACCTTTGGGGGTGTTTCCCACTTTGATCTCGGGGTTTCCAGTCCATATTCTGCACAGATGTTTCTGTACACAATGCCTGCCACTTGGTTATGTCGCTCCATGTATGCTTTCCCTGCCAGTATCTTGCACCCTGCTGTGATGTGCTGGACTGTCTCAGGGCCTCCTTGCACCACCTACACCTTGGGTCTTGTCTGGTGTGGTAGATCTGGGCCTCTATTGCTCTGGGTTTAGGGCCTGTTCCTGGGCGGCCAGGATGAGGGCCTCTGTGCTGTCCTTGAGTCGTATATATATATATATATATATATTTTTTTTTTTTCTTTCCTGTCTGATTTACTCAAACAGGCTTTGGAAAACCAAACAAGACCTGGATGGGTGTCTTAATTCATTCCTAAAGAGTCTAAGCAACGACAAAAGACCTGATTAAAGTGAAGTATAAAATCTGTAACTAACCTCAATCTCTTCTTCTATAAAATGCTTATTTGAAATGGACCGTTCCCTCTCCTCGCAGTGTGTCCTTCCGCCACATTTTCCACTCTCCAGCTCCCTCTCTTGATATTCATTCTGCTTCCTCCTTGCCCACCCCACCCCTCCTCACCACACCTGCTCTCCCCACGCGATGTATATCTTCTGTTTCCTTTGTCAGCATTTACTTCCTCACACACACGCGCGCGCGCGCACACACACTCCCTACGAGTCATTCCCCGCTCCTGTTATTATTATTATTCCTCCTATTGGTCTTATTTTCTCGCCACTGGTATAGTCCAAACATGTCTTTCTCCCTGCGCGCACAACATTCAGCGGGTGCTAAAGGTAACGCATAAGGACCCTTACGGTCGGCTGGCGGCGACACTTTATTACTCAGCGGCAGCGGGGGGGATCAGGACGGTGACGGCAGGACGAAAAATGAGTAAGAAAAGTTTTGCTGCTTCATAAATACGCGAGCAAATAATCGACTCGTTTGCTTCCGTGTCTCCACAAAGTCGCACAGTGACGCGCGCGCGCGCCAAAAGGTGCGTTTGCGATAAATATCGTTCATTTCTTGGGCAGTCATTTGTTTTATTTATTTATTTATTTTTCTAATTTACGCGCACGGGCTTTAAGACGAGCACGCCCAGACTTTCTCCCAACAGTCACTGCATTTAAATCTCTCTTGACTTCAGTGGCAAAGCAGCATTGTCGATTCATCTACTTGATTAGAGCGCTCCCCCTCCCAGTCTCTCTCTCTCTCTTTCTCCCTTTCTCCTTTACGCACACGCGCACGTACACACACACACACCCACACACACACACACACCCACACACACTGATACGTCAGTCATTGAAATAACATAGCCTACAGCAACCTGCCTTGCTTCACTCCTCCCGTCTCCCTACAGCTCTCCACTGTTCAGCATTTCTCCCATCAGGTTTATCCTCTCTCCGCATCTCTCTCTCTCTCTTTCTTCTCTCTCTCTCTTCTCTCCTGTTTCGCGGTGGGGGCAGGTGGAGAGAGGGGGGGAGAGGAGGAGGTAGAGAGCTCATATCTCTGGCGGTTTGCCGCATGGAAGTCGCCCAGGCTAGACTGAATCTTCTCTCTCCCGGACTCGGACTCCGTTGGCCATTCCGCGGCAGCAACAGCGAACCCAACGCCACATGAGTCGGGACACGCGCCGGGATGCAACGGCATCTATCCGCTGACAAACTGTAAAAAAAAAAAAAAAAAAAAAAAAAAAAAAAAGAGAGAGAGAGAGAGCGAGGGAGAGAGACAGAGAGAGAGAACCAGAATCCCGGCATCATTCCAGCAGAGGGAAGGAAGTGGACTGGGGCGCGTTGGGGGAATGTTTCTCACTCAGATGTAACAACCACAGAAAGCAGGGATCGCCAAGTGCGCAAAAGCCGCTTCTTCCCGAGACCATCATTACGCACGGCGCTGCGCTCTCTCTCTCACCTATCCCCTCTCACCCTCCTCGACCCCCAATTATTTTTTTATTTTTTTTATTTTCACGTCTTTTCGTTCCCTCGGTTCACTGCACGGACTGACCGGAGGTTGGATGTACATGTGTGCGCGCGCGGCGGCGGGGACTTCCATGGTGTGAAGTCCACAGATTTTTTTTTCTTTTCTTTTCTTTTTTCTTTTTTTTTTTTGCCAAGCCACCCAACCGGAGGCTCGAAACTGAGAAAATCCGTCGCCCTACTGGAATATTAACAACCCAGTCTTAGCAGCGGCCCAGGGGAGCAGCGGGGAGGGAAGATGTTGCTGCTGCACCAGCAGCACCGGCAGCAGCAGCAGAAGAGTTTGGGACTCTAGAGAGCTTCCCCAACTTTTTTTTTTTTTTTTTTTTTTTTTTTTTTTTGCTTTCTCTCCCCTCCTCTGGCTCCGTTTCTAATCTGTTTTCCTCTGATCATCTTCGCCTTTGGGACTTTCTGTTTGATTTGCAGCTCAACGGAATCAGCCATGGACCGCTCCACGTCTTTGGATATCGAAGCGCTCAAGGTAAGACACTCCCCACCCACCACCACCCTCAATACACACACACACACACACACACACACACACACACACACACCACACACACACACACACACACACACACACACACACACACACACACACACACTCAACCTCTCGGTCTTATGCGTGGGAGTGGGGGGAGGCGCGAAATCACTCCCGCGGAGTGAGGCTGATGTGCCACTCTAGATGGGTGGCATGTTGGGTGAGCGCGACCGATGAGTGACTGATCGGTTGTCTCGGGTGACTGCTTGGATTAATCCGCCGCTGAGTGACTGATGGTGAGTTGGAGCGGGTGGCGGTGGTGGGAGGTGGAGATAGTTGGCCGAGTCTCTGTTTGTTGGACGTGAGATCTTGGAAATATTCAATGTAGGCGAAATCCATATGGATAAAGGAAAGTTGGCAAAGAGAGATTGAGCAGGTTAAGTTTCATAAACGCGCACCGGTTTGGATGTATGGATGACAGTGTTTCCCCCATGTTATCACCTTCATGATCTGTTTTTCTGTGGCGTATCCAAATATTGTACCCAGGGAACAAGCGGGACTTCTTTTTTTTTTTCTTTCTCTTAAAATCAAATAAAAATGGCAACAATCAAAATTTCTCAAGTGACAGTGAAAACGGTGTTTGGTCAAATGTCGTGAGTGTTTTGAATGCTACCATTTAATCTGGCTTAATTTGCGAAAAAAGAAATCACCTGTGGTCCTGTAAATATTACCCCCAGGTTACTATTCAAATTTTAGAAAAAGTTATTATGTCATAGGCCTTTGCTTCCAAATGTTATATATTGTGGCACTTTCAATCAAAAGACAAGTAAATTTAACCCACCATGTCAAGGAGCCTGAGCTAAACTATTGCAATGAGCTCTCAACTTAAACGCCTGTAAATTTCAACTGGCTACATTTTGGCCAAGTTTGCCAGTGAAATTGAAAAATGTCTCTTCAACCAAAGAATTTTAGAAGCGTAAAAACTTGCCCGGCTTTTTCTCAGTAAATGTCACTCAAAATTCTCTCCAGCGTCGTCATGCAGACTAAGTCGTATTTTTATTTTTAAATTACATGCAGGTTCAAAAACAAAAAAGTTCATGATTGTTGCAAAATGACAAGTTCATGCAGAACAGACGCACGTTTCCACGTCTTAAATTTTTCTTTTCACAGCAAAAATCAGTACTTACAGTAGTTGATGTACAGAATAGCTAAAGCACATCCAGGGACGATATCTACTGCTTACTGCCTATTTACTTGACTTTCACATGGCTCAGCACATAGAAACTTACAATGCGACAATCAAGCTTCTGCTCAAACGGGAAAGCATCGTTTGAGCAAAGTGATTTTGTACGTTGTTCAGTGGCGAGTAGAGTAGTCAGCAGCCTTACTTCAAACCAATATTACTCACATAGAAGCAAAAAGTATTGCGAGATGCAAAAAAAGTACATTTAACCGAGTGGGTGGAACGACTCACCATCTTCTGCGTTTGGACTTGGCCTCGACATTGAATATCAATAGAAAACGACACACTCAACCTGCCTGAGCTCATGTTTGTTTATGCGCAGGCTGCGTGAATGTGGTCTGTGAATGTCGGAGGTTCTGTAACCGTCTACAAATTCTCAGCCAATCCATGTTAAACTTTAATGATACAAAAAAAACCCAAACCAATAAAAATTCCTCAACAAACTCCTGAACTCTGTAAGTTAGGATTAAGCATTCCAGAGTATTGCCAATATAACACAGAGATTGGTGGTAAACACCTTTTTTCTGCCTTGAAAGAAACTCTCCACACTTTAAGTTCAGGTCCTCTATCAGAAGCATCGAAAGATCTCAGAAAGATCTTTTCCAGACACTAACATTTCTGTCCAGTAGAGCAAAGTCCATCAATATGATGAAGGTACTCTGTCAGCTTGGGAGCAGCAGCTCTAAATGCTCTGATGGTCTCTGGGACCTCTAAATGCCAGCGATCATCAAATGTTGAAGGGGGTTTTCTCGAGGCATCAGTAGTTTGAGCGTCCTCCGGATGCAACTTCTTCCTCTGGGTTTGCTGCTCTCATCCATTCACTGTATGTTTTGCTCCAGTTGCCCAGTTTTCACTGACAGTGTAAGGACTGTACAGATGGAATCAAATGAAGTTGACTCCGACAACTAAATATATCCATATCATTTTTTTATTCTGTATTAATTTTTAATTTACCTGAAAGTCAATCAGAACCCCCAAATTAATTTATTATGCAACAAAAACAATGTATATTAGCAAGACTCAAAGTTTTGCAGTGTGACAATAAGATTAAAATAGCCTCTTGTGCATGTTGCTGATTCCCGTGATTGTCTGAAATATGCTTACACATATTCGACAGAAACAGTTGTTACGTGGTAATCAAATGCGAGCAACTGAGGGTGGAAACGTGCTGCTGTAGTACTGTGAACCAGTGTTTGAATAAATGAGCAAATAAATGAAATTCCCTGCAGTTTTGACATATTTTTGGGTATTATTTAATGTGTGTGTGTGTGTGGGGGGGTGACCTTTATGCTCTGCCGACAGCAAACTTCAAAATGATTTCGACCATAAACTCCCATATTGTGGATTCAAACGATGAAAATTGGCATTCCAAACTGAAAATGACCTCAACAGTTAGGCGCCGAAGCTGACCCACAGAATTGAGCAAGTGCTGAGCAACTCTTTCTGTGCTTGTGGGCGTGAAATGTTGTTTTTCCTCGCTCTATCTTTAGAAAGTCGAATGCAGAGAAATGTTCAGCTTCAGCCAGGAAAACATCACTTTAAAGAGAATCATTCCAGAGAACTTATGAATAATTATTAGACATGTTTTTGGTTAAGCTGTGAATCCTTCATAAACCAAGAGCGAGAAGTTTACATCATATATCATATCATGTTCAAAGCCACCAGTCACTTTTTATCTTTTCTTTTCACATTTAAATAATGTTTTATACCTACACAACGGTGTAAAAGTGTTCGTAACATCAAAAGCACGCTTAGTATTAGATATTTCGAAAGTGTGCGCCCCTACACACACAGATTTTTACTCTTTCAGTATTTGGAAGCGTGGCCAGCTTTGAATTTATAGCTTCATTCATTCCTCAGCTGCCGTTGTAGAACTACAACCGTGGTAAACTACAGCGCAGAAAATCCATGTCATAATTTCAAAACTCCTCCCTCTGTACCTTGAGTTGAAATTTTACTGGACAAATTGAGCTCAATGGGAGAAATCCCATACAGGGACCTAAGGGAGATGAGAATTGAACAGATCTGTGTAGAAAGGCAATGGACAGGCAATCAATTAAACTAGATTGAATCCTGCATGTATTAAAATCATGTCATCATTTTTGTCTTAATCATATGCAACAAATTTAATATTCAAAAAAATAAATCTGCTCAGAAAAGTCCTTAACATGCAGTCTTCTTGAAGTGCATGCGAGGTGCATTATGTCACTGTAATGAGCTGAGTGTCAGTGGGATCTTTTTTTTTAAGCAGAGAAATGTTGAGAAGACACAAATCCTGGATTGAGCTAAATTGCAACGGTTGCCTCCATGTAACTCCCAAGTGATGGTCTGTAATCAAATCCCGGCCCTGGCTGGTATCAGTGCGCCACTCTGCACATTAAGTTGATAAGATTTTCACTCTCTGCTGGCCGTCCATCTTTTCATCTGCTCACCTGCCAGATGTTTTCTGGGCAGCGGTGAGAAACCCCCGCAGGTTCCAGCGCGTCGGCCATGGGCGCCCTCAGGGTAAACACGTACTGTGCCCTCTTCTGTTCCTTTATTTGTACAGCAGTGTGTATGCGTGTGTGAGTTTGTTAGTCTTGGTGTGGACATGCTTGTCTATACAGTGGTGAGACCAAACTGCTGCCTGGGAAAGAAAATCCTTTCAAATACAGTTAACTGGGTGTGTGTGTGCGTGTGTGTGTGTGTGTGTGTGTGTATGTAGGAGTGCACACTTTCAAGCTTCCTGGATTTTAAGACACTGACTATAAATTAAATTGACATTTATACACTCTAGTCCAATTTATTGAAAGATCTCTTTTTTCTTTTTTTTTTTAAATTTCCGAGTGTACGTGTAGGATCTGGACACATACACTCCATCTTTTAACACTCGTCTCTGAGAACAATCCCATAATGAAAAACAGAAGAGGACGGCATTTAGACAGCAGCAAACAATGGCCAAATATTGCTGTGCAACGGTGCGTGTTTGTCTTGGTTTGACCAGGACCGTGTGCTTGTAAATCAGTGCAGGTTTCAATATCAATGGAGCAGTTTAAGTGCTATTGATCTTTAGTAATAGCTGTGCTATAAATTCTATGCAGAATAATAAAGGCGGTGAATTTGACCCTCTAGATCGGAGGCTCCTGACTTGAAACGGTGGCATTTTAAATTGCAGTTTAACTTTGCTGGCGTTACTGAAAGTATGAACTTCAACGTAATAAGATGGAATCAGACGAATTGGTTTTGAAGTTACAGTCACAAAGCGGCACGCAAATACGCATTTATGAGCAGCTTTTAACCTGTATGTTTTTAACATACTTGCTAAAAGGGTCACCGCATCTTGGCAGTATGATACGACACGGGTTATCTGTGAAAACAACCAATCAGAGTCAGGAGGAGGGTCTTAGCGCTGTCAATTAAGCTCATGCTTAATGTGCTAATGGCAGAGAAACAACTTATCGATCCAGGAAAACTAAGTCCGCCGTCATTGGTGAGCAGCGCATACACCAGGGTGACTGACGGCACTCAGACTCTCTTCCTGTCTATTTTTGGTTGTTTCTGATTGAGCTCTGTAGGTATGTAGTTAGCACTAAGAGATCATCTGTCTCATGCTGACGCTGTGACAGTTTTAACAAATATGTAAGAGATATATGTTTTTTGTAAAAGTTACAAAAAACATATATCTTTATGTTTTTTGCTTAAATGTACCAAAAACAGGAAAATAGAGCCAGTCCTGAAGTCCTTCCACTGCCTCCCTGTAGTTCAAAGAATAAAATTT